AATGACCCTATGTTCCAGCTCCCCTTGGCTTCCCAGTCTCCACATTTGCCCTCCAGGTGTTCTCTAGTTCTAGGCATCCCACCTCCTAGAGGTCACCTGTTTGGTCCAACACCTGGTAGTCTCCCCAACACTGCAGGAGAGGCCAGGCTGTCCAGATCAACAGCCTTTCTTCCCTGCTCCTCAGCACTTTTGTAATATCTTCTGAGAATCTGTTCGAATCAGAGATTATGTAATCTCAGATGGTCATACCTATAGAGGGACTCTAGTCATCTCTGAACTGGGAGTTGAAGACCTTGGGGGTCTTTTAACTTTTATAGGTTTTGCTTTCCAAATCTGTGTTGTGGCAAAACAGATTGGGATCAGGTAAAACCACAGGCTGTGGATATGTTGAGGAAAATGAAAAATACCAGGACATTTTCAAGATCATGTTACTGCTGTGGCTGCTGGTCCTGCTTGCAGCCTGCGAAGCTGAAGACAATGTGACAAGACAAACGTAAAAATGCCCAGAATGGAGTTATGAATATAGTGGTGGTCAAGGTTGTGGAGGGGGAAACCTGTATATGACCACAAGTAAGCGGGAAAGAAGGGCTTCTCTGCTCAGGGGTGAAGGGTGGCCCTCTGAATGCCCTCTGAATGGAGCTCCCTGGAACCATGGATGACCCTTGCCGTCACTTCTTGCAATTCTGAGCTATTTTGATAAAACTATTGGATGTGTGGGTTGAGGGTGGGGGAGGAGAAGTACCACACTTCAAGGGCTGAGGAATCACCTTTCGGGTAAAATGTCAGAACAACCAGTGCATTCATACTTGTTTTACCCATTTGGCTATATAGTGGTCCACATCTTGAGTCCATATTACTCATCACATCCCCTCCATGGAGATAAGCATAACACAGTTTCTGCATCAAGGAGCTCACTTTCTAGCTGGGGAGGAACTTACATAAATAGATAAATATGTGACAGGTGGTAAGAAGGAAGTAGTTCAGAAGACTGTAGGAGTACAATGAAGGATACAGAATTTACTTAGGAAAGAGGTCAGGGAAGTTTCTCTAAAGAAGATGAGCATTTTTTTTTTTGTCATGTATCTGAGAGTCATTCGTTATCATTCTTTATCGGCTCCCCTTGACTTTCCAGTTTCCACATCATCTTCCAGGAGTTCTAAATGGCACCAGTGCCTAAATCTTGGTGGGGTAGTGAATATGGCTAAGCAAATGATACAAGTCCTTTTTAATCTCATTGTGGACTTCCACTGGTGCAGACGTAGTATTATTGTTAGGATCTTCATGAAGACCCCTCAAAACATTTTACCTCCATGAGCCAAAGATCAGATCAAGGCTAGGAAACAAAAGTCCACAGACAAACTCATTGTATGGCTCAATAATGTCTAATCACCCATTTTTATTAAGCATCATTTTCCTGAAGCCCCAGAACGGGCATCCTCCGAATCTCTACACTTTGCCCATTCAGACAGCTGCTCTAGTGGGGATTGAGACTTAACTTGGAACTACTCATCTATGGCTGATAGACAGCCTTCTCCATCCCTCATGCTTTCTGACACTGTTTCTTCCTCCGACAGGACACTTAGCTTATTCCACCTCTTGGGATAGTTATTTCTGTCACTGTCAATGCCGACACTAGATATGGAACTCTTCAAAGGCAGGGATGGGGCTTCATTCAGCTGTCTGCCCTGACAAACAGCAGATGGTTAGTACATTGGGTTGAATCAAAATGTCATAGGTAATGAAGTCTGTGTGGATACAGAGAACATGAGACACATTCTGCTTCCCTTAAAGTAAGGTCCCTGATGCATGAAGATGAAACTGCACCAACCAGCAAAGACCAGGAGAGGTACTAACACACGTGCTATCAGGGAACACGGAATGTTATAGCCAGGGGTGAGGATCTTGGAGCAGATCAGAACATTTCAAGCAAGAGCTGTGCAAAGAAAAGGGGATGACAGAGAGAACAGAGGAGAGAAGTGCAGCTTGTGTGTGTGTGTCAGGGAGTGAGGGAGAGTGCTGGGGTAGGACGAGCTTGTACTTTAATGACCCTGTAGTACCTGTGATGCTGCTCCAACCCTCCTATGGCTCCCAGATGCTGTAGGTCCCTTTTGTTCTTGACTTGTATTTTAGGTTCAGGAGTACATGTGCAGGTTTGTTATATAGGTAAATTTTGTGTTGTGGGGGTTTGGTGTACAGATTATTTCATCACCCAGGTAATAAGCATAGTATCCAATGAGTAGTTTTTTTTATCCTAGCGCTCCTCCCACCCTTCACCCTTGAGTAAGCCCTATGCCTGCTGTTCCTTTCATTTGCGTCCATGTGTACTCAATGTTTAGCTTCCACTTATAAGTGAGAACATGCAGTATTTGGTTTTCTGTTCCTGTGGTAGTTCGCTTAGGATAATGGCCTCCAGCTCCATCATGTTGCTGTAAAGGGCATGATCTCATTCTTTTTCGTGACTGAGACGTATTCCATAGTGTATATAGACCACATTTTCTTTATCCAGTCTACCATTGATGGGTATTTAGGTAGATTCCATGTCTTTGCTGTTGTAAATAGTGTTGTGATGAACATACCTGTGCACATGTCTTTATGGTAGAATGATTTATATTCCTTTGGGTATATACCCAATAGTGGGATTGCTGGGTTGAATGGTAATTCTGTTTTAAGTTCTTTGAGAAATCGCCAAACTGCTTCCCACAATGGCTGAGCTAATTTACATTACCACTAGCAGTGTATAAGTGTTCCTTTTCTCTGCCACCTCATCAGCATCTTCTGTTATTTTTTGACTTTTTAAAAGTAGCCAGCCTGACTGGTGTGAGATGGTATCTCACTGTGGTTTTAATTTGCATTTCTCTAATGATGGGTGATATTGAGCAGTTTTTGCATGTTTCTTGGCCGCGTGTATGTCTTCTTTTGAAATGTGTCTGTTTATGTTATTGCCCACTTTTTAATGGAGTTGTTTGTTTTTTGCTTGTATATTTGTTTAAGTTCCTTATAGATTCTGGATATTAGACCTTTGTCAGATGCATAGTTTGTAAATATTTTCTCTCATTCTGTAAGTTATCTCTTTTCTCTGCTGATAATATCTTTTGCTGTGCAGAAGCACTTTAGTTTAATTAGATCCCATGTGTCAGTTTTTGGTTTTGTTGCAATTTGCTTTTGGCATCTTCATCATGAAATCTCTGCCAGATCTTATGTCCAGAATGGTACTGTCTAGGCTATCTTACAGGTTATCATATTTTTATAGTTTTATAGTTTTAGGTTTTACATTTAGGTCTTTAATCAATCTTGAGTTGATTTTTATATATGATGTAAGGAAGGGGTCCAGTTTCAATCTTTTGCATATGGCTAGTCAGTTATCCCAGTACCATTTGTGGAATTGGAAGTCCTTTTCCTATTGCTTGTTTTTGTTAACTTTGTCAAAGATCAGATGGTTACAGGTATGCAGCATTATTTTCTGAGCCTCTATTTTGTTCTATTTGTCTATGTGTCTGTTTTTGTACAGTACCATGCTGTTTTGGTTACTGTATCCCTGTAGTATAGTTTGAAGTCATGGCTCCCTCTTTTTACTCTTCTTTTTTTCTCTCAGAGAAGAGCAGGTAACAATGTGGGGTTAGGAATGAGCATCTGGGTGAGAATAGTAGAGCTAAAGGCTGATAGACATCTTGATCCAATTATCCTCATTCCCTTCATTTGCCCAACTTCACACACTTCTGTATTCAGGGTCTTTGTAAGCTTCACCTTCTGTACAGGTGCCTAGTAGCTGTCAAACCAGTCAGGGCTTAACATGAACATGGGCATTCCCTATGGACTGGCTGGGATGCACTCACATCCTTAGATTACACATTTTGTCTGTAACATAGATAAACTCATTACTAGGTATACAAGTCTGTTTTGTTTTGTTTTGCTTTGCTTTGCTTTGCTTTTGAGACAGGGTCTTGTTCTGTCATCCAAGCTGGAGTGCAGTGGCACAATCACCACTCACTGCAGCCTGGACTTTCCTGGGGTTGATCCTCTCACCTTAGCCTCCTGAGAAACTGGGACTACAGGTATGCATCACCACTCCCAGCTAAATTTTTTTTCGGTATTTTTTTTTGTAGAGACAGGGCTTTACCATGTTGCCCAGGCTGGTCTCAAACTTCTGGGCTCAAGCAATCCACCTGCTTTGGCCTCCCAAAGTGCTTGGAATACAGGTGTGAGCCACTGCACCCAGCTCAATTCTGTTCTTATACTAGAAGAACATTCTGTATCTGGGCCTTCTAAACTTGATTCTTACTGGTTTCTTTGAACTGTTCTTTTATTGGTCCAAGAAAATATCCTGAACTCTTTATTTCTCCTCCATTCCCTCCTTATTCTAGGACAGACTAGCCCAATCCCTTTCCTGAATTAAGTCCGAATACAATCAGCCTTTGAGTGTGGAATCGCTCCTAGCAGTCTATCCGTCAACAGTTTCTTTGTGGCCACACTATGTTTATTCTGGAGACTACAGCGTGGAAAGAAAACGGACTTTGGAGTGAGATGAATCTTGATTCAAATGTTGGCAGTGCCACTCATCAGCTGTGTGGCATTGAGAGCATCAGTGGACCACTCTCTGATCCTCAATTGCCTTATCTATAAAATGAGATTACACACCCCTGCTCAGGGTTATAGTAGGATTAGATATAATATGCGTAAGACAGCTTTCCCAGTGCCTGGCATTGATAAGTGTCCAATAAGAAGTTCCAAATGTTCCTGAGTCACTCTACTGGGTCCCTCTGCATATCTAATGCTGGACTCTTCATGCCCAAGGAAACATACAGGGCACAAAAGTCAGTGGCACTCAGCTCAGCAGAAGAAGGCACAAGAAGGGTACGGGGGAGTCCTGGCTCCCCCTTTGTTCTTAGAGCCAAGCTAGTGGCAAGCCTGGGAAGACTGACGTGAACCCTCCAGCTTCTGGGGGTGCCAACCACCAAGAGCAGCACAGTTCTTGTCTATAAGCCACTTGCAGCAAGTGTGAACATTTCATCTTTTCCCCTGGGGTTTGCAACTCTCTCCCCAGTCTCGGTCACTGCCTTTGGTTGTACCACTTCCCTCTTCTCCTCCCCTGCACCTCCCTCATCTTTCCTCTATGATGACATCGCCCTGGGGAAGAGAAGCTGAGAGGAACTCATCGCTCAGCTAGCTTCAGGAGCCATGACATCATCTCTACCATGGAAATTCCATTCACTGTCCTGTGCCCCCACATTTGTCCCAGGCCTCGGAGTCCCTATAAAGAGAGGTTCCCAACTCAGTATCAGCACAGGGCACAGCTGGGTTCTAAAGCTTCTGAGTTCTGCAGCCTCACCTCTGAGAAAACCTCTCTTTCACCAATACCATGAAGCTCTGCATGACTGTCCTGTCTCTCCTCGTGCTAGTAGCTGCCTTCTGCTCTCCAGCGCTCTCAGCACCAAGTAAGTCTGCTTTTGCAGTGGCTATTTCTAGAGCCAAGTTGTAGGCAAAGTGTTTTCTTCTAGTTGTGGCTGGTCAAACAGTGGGATCTGGGGATGGGATAAAAGACAGCTAGGACAATTGTCACATAGTCTGCTGCCAGATGTAGAGTCTAGTAGGTATTCATCAACATTCAAGTTCCTGTTTTATTAAGAATTAGCAAAGAGTAGAAGAAAAGGATGGGCTGGAAGTCAGACTGTTAAATTGGCTCTGCCTCTAATTACTTGTTCAAGCAAGCCCCTGTCCCTCTCTGTGCCTCAATTTCCCCATCTGTCATAGAAAGGGAGTGAGATGTGTTCTGAGACTGAATCCAGTTCCAATCTTCTAGATTTCTTTCTTGTCCTTCTCTGAAGATCCACTATTCAGAATAAGACTCCTGCTTAGGTTAGGTGGGAATGGATACAAGGAACCATATTTGAGGTTCTGGTAGCTTCACAGAGATGCTCAATGAAGAAGCAAAATTAAAAGCCAAAATAAACAGCTCCCAAGTGCAGTGTTGATCTCACTCCGGCCTTTCCTTTCAGTGGGCTCAGACCCTCCCACCGCCTGCTGCTTTTCTTACACCGTGAGAAAGCTTCCTCGCAACTTTGTGGTAGATTACTTCGAGACCAGCAGCCTCTGCTCCCAGCCAGCTGTGGTGTGAGTATCAACCCCTGTGCTATTCTGGGAGTCAAGGGTAAGGGCTGGATTTTAAAAGGGGGTCTGTTTCAGGGAGTGGGTGACTGAGCAGTGGGGAGGCAGCTCTCAGGTCTGAAGCCTTCCCTGAGAGCAATGAGGACACAGGTCATGAACTCACTTTTCAAGTGCTGAAGGCAGCTGGGTGGGAGCCAAGAGAGAAGGGGGTTCCTAGGGAGGAATTTATCCAGAGGACAGGAGAGCAGGGGAAGTGAGAAAAGTCACATGAGATATGGACCGATTTCTTAAACCATGCTAGAAAGACATGTGGAAAAGTCACTGCCAGGCTGACAGGGAATGGGGAGATCTATTCATATTGATTGCAATGCCCACTGGTTCCTAATCTGGGCAACCCCTGGGGCCCAAAGTTAAATCCAGTGGGTGGAAGTTACAGGGAGTCTGGTTCCAGTGCTGCCCCAGGAAGGATCCCATCCATCAGAGCTGCCCTGCATGGACCATGGTCAGGCAGAGGAAGATGCCTACCACAGGCAAGGGATAAAGCCAGATGACCTCAAAGCTTCCATGGGATTCTAATCTGTCCACTCCTTGTTCTACAGATTCCAAACCAAAAGAGGCAAGCAAGTCTGTGCCGACCCCAGTGAGACCTGGGTCCAGGAGTACGTGTATGACCTGGAACTGAACTGAGCTGCTCTGGGCTCAGAGACAGGAAGTCCTCAGGGAAGGTCACCTGAGCCTGGATGCTTCTCCGTGAGACGCATCTTCTCCATACTCACGACTCCTCTCCGCAGCTCCTGTTCCTTCTCTTAATTTAATCTTTGTTATGTGCTGTTTTATTGTATTAGGTATTATTTCCATTATTTATATTGTTTAGCCAAAGGATAAGTGTCCCCTATGGGGAAGGTCCACTGTCACAGTTTCTTTGCTGTTGCAAATACATGGTTAACACAGTTGATTCCCTGTGTTTTCATAATAAAACTTTAAAATAAAATGCAGACAGTTTCTTTGTGATTTTAATTTGATTTCGGAGTAAAAGGAATTGCCTGGTACTATTGGGAGGGACAAAGTAGTTTCTCAAAACAGTAAAAATGAGGAATTGCTGAGTCTTTAATATGAGCTCTGGGCTGAATACTCTTAATACATGATCTCACTGCATACTTTCAACAAAGGTTTCAACACCCTTATGAAGGAGGGACTGGGTGGAGTGACTTGCTGAGGCTTGTAGGTCTACTTGGGGAATGTCATGAAAGAATCCTCCCAAAAATGATAGCTTGATAATAAAGGTTATCATTTCAACATCTTGAGGGGAAGTCGCAACAGAGTAAGCAACACAGCAAAGGGGAAAGAAGAGTGAGAAAAATGACTTCATCATCTTATTATCAGCATAACTTTGGGAAAGTCACTTTGCCTTATTAGACCTCGATGTACACACCTGTGAAATGGGGATAATATTAAACACTTTGAAGGACTGTCATCAGGTGATATGTAAAGCACCCATGCTGGGTCCAGGCACTTGGAAGATTCTCTCCTTCCCTCTCTGAGCCTCAATCTTTTCACTTGAACTGGACCTAGCAATGATCAGAGTCGTCATGAGGATCAGATAAGTTGATGGATCAGCACTCTAAAGTCCAGGCTAATGTGAGGTGGTGTCATGAGGACAGAAGGATGGAGTCTGGTTTTGTTTGGAAGTGTTGCAGGAGTAACTTAAGCCACTTCGACTTAATAATCCTTCCATTAGAACTGCCTATTCCATGGGTCAGAGACAACATGGCTCTGAAACAGAATTACATGCACAATAAAGGCTGATCCATGGGACACAGACTTGTTGTCTACTAAAGCTAAAAGGAAACTTTAGACCATCTGGTCCAACCCTCCCATTTTATAGAAACTGAGAGCCAAGGCCTGGGGAGTAACTTGCCACATGCCTCTCAGCAAGTGTATAGCAGAGCAGGACCCTGGCCAGTGCCACTCCTGGGCTCATGCCCTTTCCTGCACACCTTCCCTAGTGACACACCTCTGTGGTCCTCAAAAGGGAGACCAATTGAGTAAGGACAAGGCAGAGACTACCTTGAAAATCATTTGAGTGTTCTTAGTCCTATGCAAACACAGAATTGGGGCCCTATACCTCTGGGGTCAACAGACACAATTATCTTCTTTGTCCTGCCCTTAGTCACCCTGTCATTCTAGATCCCCAGTGGAAACCTCCTTCAGATTCTGTGGGGACTGAGAGAAGGAGGTTAGGGGGCAGAGCTGATCCAAAACAGGTGTGAGAAGAGGCTAGCAGCAAATAATGTGCCTGGCCGTAGTTTCTGCTTTCATTTGCCTAGATCTGAGCTGTTTAATATGTTAGCCATGGCCAAAGTGGCTATGTAAATTTTCATTACACTTAACTAAAATGAAATAAAATTTAAAATTCAGTTCCTGAGTCACACTAGTCACATTTCAAGTGCTCAGTAGCCTCATGTGGCTAGTTACCATGTTGGACACCATGTTGGAACTTTCTGTCCATCATCACAGAAAGTTCCATTGGAGAGCACGCTCCTGGAGAAGCCTAAAGAAAGAGCCTAAAGAAAGTGAAGGGAGGGGCAGTTGGGGTGGTCTGGAAGATTAGGGTGTGGACATGGAAAAAGGTACACAATTCTATTCTGAGGGGACAGGATAGAAGAGAGAATGAACGCTCCCAGGGCCAGAGACAAGGTATAGATCACTATGGTAGCTGAATAATGGCCTCCAAGATGTCCACAGCCTATTCCCCAGAACCTGTGAATGTCACTTTATATGGCAAAAGGGACTTTGGAGATAATCAAGTTAAGGATCTTAAGATGGAGTAATTACCTTCAATTATCTGGTCAGGCCCCAAATGTAGTTGTAAGTGTCCACATAAGGGAGAGGAACAGAAAAATCTGGCAATAGAGGAGAAGGTAGCAATGTGACAATAGAAGAAAGATGCTATGCTGCTGGCTTGGAAGATGGAAGAAGAGGCCAGAAGCCAAGAGGTGTTAGGATGCAGCTCTCGAAACTAGAAAAGGCAAGGAAATGGCTCCTCCCCCAGAGCCTCCAGAGAGAACAAAGCCCAGCAAACCTGATTTCAGACTTCTCACCTCCAGAACTTTAAGAGAATAAATATGTGGTTACAAGACACTAAGTTTGTGGTAATTTTTTGCAGCAGCAAAAGAAAACAAATACAACCACCAACTGACGAGTCACTGATAGTGACCCCCCATAGCTCAGTGTGGCAGGAAAGGGAGCATTTAGAGGGTGAGCCAAACCTCTCTGCAGGAGGAACCCAGGGTGATAGGGACACACCTCAGGGAGATGAACTATCACGAGGAGAGACATCCCAAAGGGAGACCTGTTTCAGCAACTGAGTTATGGGGCTAAGGCTTGACCCAGAGTTCAAGACCCTTAGGAAGCGTGCCTCTTCTTGAGACACCTAACGTGCTCTGAGGAGTCCTAGATTCCTATCTGGGAAAGAATCCATCCTCTTATCTGTCAGATGCAGCCCAGAGCAGAGCCATGACCTGTCTCTGGTTCATTACTAGTGAGGAAGCAGGGTTAGGGCAAGAATGCCGCTCTCCTCCCTCACTCTGGAGTCCCTTTCCCACTCCTCCCTGCTCCTCAGCAAATGGAAAGGGAGAATCTCAGTTCCACAGAGGCAGGACCACCAGGGAAGGCTGAAGTAGGTCTGGGCAGCCTCAGGAAAAATGCTTCACCAGGAATTACAAACGGCAGCATGGAATCCTCAAAGTGGGGCAATGTGGGACTTCACCTGTTGCACAATATGAGACTATTTTTTCCTTTCTCTTTTTCTGATACAACTTCCTTTTCTCACCCTGGGCCCAGAGGGCTGGAATCTGCTTACTTGATGTTCCAGTTGAGGTTTCTCCAGATTTCTGGGTGGGGGCAGAAGCCAGAACAGACGAAGCAGTACACTTGAAAGGAACTGTGGATTATGGAGCAATTTCTAGACATCCGGCCTGTTCTCCTCCTCCTTTCAGTGCCCACCTGCCCCAGCTCACTCTCCAGTTGGGACTCTGTTTCCTTATGTACACATTCCTTTAGGGCATGTTCATGCAAACATGTCCTTATCCCCCACCCCACCTCAACGTGGAACCCTTCATCATGCTCCCATTAACACAGGCATTTGCCTCCAAGGAGGCCAGAAGCCAAGCAACAGAGGCAGAGATCAGGGGAGCAAGATGAGCTGAGGATGGTGACAAATCCACAGCTCTTCCTGGCAGCTGAGACCAGGGACCAGGTGGCAGTCCTGTGCTGCAGTCTGCATTCACCCTTTACAGACTCGAGGGACTTGGTGCCCTCTCTTTCCCACCTATCTTTACCTGTTCTCCCTTCTAAACTGTTTTCCTCTTGGGTTCCCGCTGAGTCCAGCATACAGGAAAATGGAAGAAAAGAATTGAGAGACAGAATTGTGGCTGCATTTTTCTACCTTTTAAAAAGTTTCATTTTTAGATACAGTTGACGCTTCGTATATGTGGGTTCCATTGTTTCCATCCCAATGATGGATGGAAAATGTTTGGGGAAAAAACATAATAGACCAGCTGTGGTGGCTCACACCTATAATTTTAGCACTTTGGGAGGCCAGAGTGGGAGGATCACTTGAGCTCAGGAGTTTAAGACAAGCCTGGGCAGCATAATAAGACCCTGTCTCTCTAAACAAAAAAAAAAATCCAGATTAGCTGAGTGAGATGGCACATGCCTATAGTCCCAGCTACTTAGAAGTCTGAGGAGGGAGGATCGCTTGAGCCCAGGAGGTAGAAGTTACAGAAAACTGAGATGACTTGACTGCACTCAAGCCGGGGAGCCAGTTGATTCCAGGGGACCCAAAATGTCACTGTGGTCCTCCAGTTAAAGTAGGGGCTTCTGGAGGTCAGGTAATTAATGGAGGTGTAGCTCAGGTCCAACTCACAGTGAGTCCAGTGGGTCCCCAGACTCATCCTGTGGTCATTTTCCCAGTGCCAGAATGCGAAATTGGCATAGATACAATTAGCAGCTGTCAGAACACCCACACTGGCTCCCTGACTGGTAGAATGAGAGCTATTATGGTGGGAAAAGCCAAAGGGAAGCCATTAGAGCTGCCTCTATCTAGAAAACTAGTAAATCAAAAACCATATCACATCCCTGGAAGGATTGCAATTAGTGCTACCATCAAGGACTTGAAGGATGTAGGGGTGGTGATTCCCTCATCCCTTTTGAAGTCTCCTGTTTGGCCAGTGCAGAAGACAGACAGATCTTAGAGAATGACAGTGGATTATCGTAAGCTTAACCAAGTGGTGACTCCAATTGCAGCTGCTTTACCAGATGTGGTTTCATTGGTTGAGCAAATTGACATGTCTCCTGGTAACTGGTATGCAGCCATTGAGTTGACAAATGTTTTTTTCTCCATTCCTGTCCATAAGGCCCACCAGAAGCAATTTGCCTTCAGCTGGCAAGGCCAGAAATGTATTTTTACTGTCCTACCTCAGGGGTATATCAACTCTCTGGCTTTCTGTTATAATTTTATTCAGAGAGACCCTGATCACTTTTTGCTTCTGAAAGATGTCACACTGGTCCATTACACTGATGACATTCTGCTGATTGGATCCAGTGAGCAAGAAGTAGCAAACACACTGGACTCATTGGTGAGACATTTGCACGCCAGAGGATAAGAAACAAATCTGACTAAAATTCAGGGACCTTCTACATCAGCAAAATTTCTAGGAGTCTAGTGGTGTGGGACCTGCCAAGACACTCCTTCTAAGATAAAGGATAAGTTGCTGCATTTGGTTCCTCCTACAGCCAAGAAAGAGGCACAATGCCTAGTGGGCCTATCTGGATTTTGGAGGCAACACATTCCTCATTTGGGTGTGTTACTCTGGCCCATTTATTGAGTGACCTAAAAAGCTGCAAGTTCTCAGTGGGGTCCAGGAGAAGGCTCTGCAATAGATCCAGGCTGCTGTGCAAGCTGCTCTGCCACTTGGGCCATATGACCCAGCAGAT